TTTCATTGTCTAAGTTCACCTTCATTTGTGGTCCTACCCATACTGACCTTCAGTATCAATGTTGAAAGTCTTTGGGACATGTCCATAATGCCTGCTGCCTGCTGCTTTGCCAGCATGGACCTGATCTCAGATGCTTGGCCTCACACAAGCTAAGCAGGTCCTGCCCACCACTGAGCTGAAACTCTAGCCCTTTGCAATATCTGCATTGCCCTTGAACTTGCAATCCCTCTGCCTCAGCATCCCCAGTACCTGGGATCATAGGCCTGAGCCATCAGACTCACTTCCATACATTTATTTCTGACTGCTAACCCAGCTCGACACAAAAAGACAATGTCTTCAGAACAGGGTATTTTATTGACAGCAAAAAACTATACAAAACATCTGTGGTTTGATTAGTTGATAGAGTTTAGATTTTTATATCACAGTAAGATACTTAATATGGATGAAGCACCACATTATAAGGAATCCAGACTCCCATAGCTGTGGCCCCTCACATGTGATCAGCCCTCACATGGGGGAAGGGAGGACTTCCATCCTCACTCGCTTGTTCTTTCTTGAAGGCTTGGAATCTGTAATTCCAAAGACTGGGGAGAATTTGGTTCTGTAGCCTTGCCCCCGTGGCTCAGTTCTTCTGCGTGAGGTTCCTGTTGTCCATCCTGGTACTGAAAAATCAAACACCCCAGGGCCTTCTGAGCGTCCCACATAGTTCTTCCCTGTATCTGTGAGTTAGAACTGGCACTGTCAAATCAATTCCCCTCCTACTGCTGTATCCTGCCTCAAAAACAGGTGCCAAACAAGGAGTAGGCGAGGGGGTTGGGGAGGGGTGGGCTGGGCTCCAAATCTTTGCTCCGAATACCAGCTATAAACACAAATTCCCTCTGCCACCCGGAGCCAAAAAGCTTGGTTTTAAAAAGTTAAAACAGCTGTGAGCAGAATTCTGTGCTTGCTGGATTTCTGTCACTCTTGCAAAACACCTGAGATAGACAACTTAACAAGAGGGAAGGTTGGTTTGCTCAGTTTCTGAGCTTCTGATCTGTGGTCACTTAGCCTCATTGTGCGAGGGCCTGTAGCAGCACTGTATATCCCGTGGGGCGTGTCGCAGAGAGGTCTCTTTATCCCATGGCAGTTGGGAATCAAAGAGAAACAGGAAGGGAATGGGGTCCATGTTCCACTCACAGGTACACCCTAATGGCCTAACTTCCTTCTCCGAGGCTTTACTTACTACCTCTTTAAGATTCTACCACCTCCAAATAGTGCTGCACTGGACCAAGCAGTCAGAACATGGGCACTGGGAGGACATTTAGATTCCCAATTTGATGCTATAATAGATCTGGTTACATCTGTGGTTACATTTGTGGCCATATCCAATTACCTGACCTGTTTTTTTTTTTCATTAGCTACTTACATTAGCCACACCCCTAAAATAATACGGATTTTGGTTTTTGGTTGGTTGCTTCCTCTTCCTCCTCTTCCTCCTCCTCCTCCTCCTCCTCCTCCTCCTCCTCCTCCTCCTCCTCTTTCTTTTTCTTCTTCTCCTCCTCCTTCTTTTTCTTCTTCTCTGTCTTCCTCTCCTCCTTCTCCTTCTTTTTCTTCTTCTCTGTCTTCCTCTCCTCCTCTTCCTTCTCTTCTTTTAGAATTAGTAATAGCTCATCTTTAGGTAAATTGCTGAAGGTTTCACATAGAAGGGACTAGAAGAATCTGTAATAAAGGAACTCAGGAGATGGTCTAGCAGGCCAAACATTTGTCCCACAAGCCTAACAACTTGAGTTCTTTCTGATGCCTGGGACCCAGGTCAAAACAGAAATAGTAACATGCCCCTGTCCTGGGGAAAGATGGGGGGTGGAGACAGGGATATCCCAGGAAATCTCGCAGGCCAGCTAGCCTGGAGAACACAGAACGGTGGATAAAATAAGAGAGACCCTACTTTGAAACAAGATAGAAGACAAGGACTGATACCCAAGGTTGTCCTCTGACCTTTATGTACACACACACACACACACACACACACAAAGCAAAAATAAATACTTTACAAATCCACACTAGAGGACAGGATTAGACACCTGGGGTCCAACAACTCTGTACCTAACATTTCAGTTTTTGCAAGCTGACATCTGGCCACCCCCAGCACCCATATTTAAATCATTGCAAGTGTGCCTGTATACTGGATGACTCATGCAAGCTCTTCTGGAAGTTGTCCCTAATGTGACAGCAGAGTCTGTATCCACCCCTGTCCTCCCTCTGCCTGGTGAAAATACAGACTATTGGTTCTGTGACACAGTCACAAGCACACGGTGGCCTTCTTTATTTAGGTACAGTGCTGTTAGGCAACTCACTCCCACACGGAGCTTTGCCGGCCTCCATCATAGTGCCTTTGTTCTCAGGAGCCTGCATACCAAAAGTGCATACATGCCCAACAGGAGGGTTCCCCAGAGCCCCCTCAACCCACAGACCTGGCCCTTCCAAAACACCTCCTGGTGGCTTTATTAGCCCACATTTGCAAGGATGTCAGCGACTAAGACATTTCCTGGCAGTGTGCATAGAGGAGTCCTGCTCTCCTTTTCCTCTTCACCTGAGGTGCGACAGATAACAGTGTCAGACAAGAGAGGCCAAATAGATGGTGGTGCCATCTCTTGCTTTGTTTTAGCAAAGAATTGGTAAATGAGCTATGTTCTAAGGATCAGACTAATGGCCAGAACCTCCTTTAAAAAGAGGTGGTTTCTTTTATGGTTTTTCATGCATGAAAAGGAGAATTGTCTCTTACCGTCATCTGTTTAGCCAGCAGTTATCATGATCTCAAGATCTCCTTGTGAGGACAGATGAGAGGTTCAGGTCTCCAGAAACAAATATCTCAGTTCTTGGCCCCTTGGCCCCAGCTACATGGGACAAGAGGCCCAAATTCTGAGTGATTGATCACTACACAGAATGAAATCCTCAGTGGCCTCAGAGGGCAGCCATGTATGTTCCTGGTGATGTGCAATCCAATGGAAGCGAGGTGTGTCAGCCCTGGGAGTCTCCCCTGGGAGTCTTTGGTTTTATTTGGGTCTGACAACGTGATCATCCCTTGGAGGTCTCAGAAAGACAGGCTGGGAAATTGTTTGGTTAGGAGAGAAGGGAAATGGCTGTGGGGTGATCTTATATACCCTCTAGCCATGAGTTCCACTAATAGAGCAAGGAAAACTCAGGGCCCTACGTGAGGGAGAGCTCTGGGGAGGCACAGGGTCTATCCCTCTCTAGCTCATCTCTCTGTCTCTGTCTGTCTCTGTTTTTCTCACTCTCTCTCACACACACAGACACACACAAACACTTTGTCTCTGTCTCTCTTTTTGTCTCCCTCTCTGTCTCTGTCTCTATCTTTCTCTGTCTTTCTCTGTCTCTGTGTCTGTCTGTCTCCCTCCCTTCCTCTCTCTCTCTCTCTCTCTCTCTCTCTCTCTCTCTCTCCCTCCTACATACCCCCACACACACACACACACACACACACACACACACACTCTTTCTCTGTCTCTCCTGCTACACCTGGTCCTGAAGAAAAACTCTAGATTCTACAAGACCCACTTACTCTGCTCAAACTGTCTCTTCTGATTCTGTAACATCAGGTGACTGTGATAGTTCTCTGTTCAAGTCTTGACCAGACAATAAGTCGGCTTTATGACATATGATATGACTCCTCCAGCGAGCCCTGTGGTTTCTCTATGTGAGTGCTCTTACTGTCTGTCTACTTGAGATTAGTATTATGAGACAGCAGCATGGTCTACCCTCTAGCACTTTATTCTCTTGCCTCAGACTCTTCCATTACTGGCATTATAGTCATTCATATACCACTACCGTTTTTGTTTTCAATGTACACACAGTAATTGTATATATTTATGAGGTCACAGATCCTTACAGGCAACTACTGGTAATATTAAAAACTGCCTTTTGTAGTGACGGCCCTAATGGCTATGGCAGTGTCTCCCCTAACAGGCTACAAGCGACTTCCGTCACTGAAAGATTTGCTAGGTTTTATTTTATTTTTTTTAATAATAATTATAATAGTTTCAAATCTAAGTTGCTTGGTGACAACTTTGACTAGGCTTACCTCTCTCTCAAAAAACCAAAACGAGGCAGGCTGTGGTGGAACTCCCTTGCATTCCGAGTGCTTGGCGGCTGAAATGGGTGAAACAGGAGTCCAAGACTAGCCTAGGTTTCATATAAGAACTTAACCTAGGGGCTGGAGAGATGGCTCAGAGGTTAAGAGCACTGACTGCTCTACCAGAGGTCCTGAGTTCAATTCCCAGCAACCATGTGGTGGCTCACAACCATCTGTAATGAGATCTGATGACCTCTTCTGATGTGTCTGAAGACAGCGACAGTGTACTCATATACATAAAATAAATAAATCTTTAAAAAAAAAAAAAAAAGAACTTGACCCAGAACACCAAAAGGAAAAGCAGGATGTAAGAAATAAACAAACAAAACCAAACAAAAGCCACCCTCTGAGCTCAGTCACATTCACACTTTTCCCCTAGTGTTAGGGCACCCTGCCTGGGTGTCCTGTAGTAGGCAAAGTGCAAACCTTGAAAGAAAAGGCCACCTCTATTCAGGGCCCTTCACAGGAAACCCTGACCTCCAGATGATGTGTGGTCTGGAGTGGCCCGACTATGACTGTCCCCAGTAGCTTTCAAGGGAGCAAGGCTTACCACCCCAGAGAGGGCAATGGAGAAGGACCTTGAAGATTTAGTAACAGGAAACAAAGGAAGAGTCAATGAGAAGCTGACCAATTACTTGTAGCAAATACTCTGGACTTTGGGGAGTGTGTGTGAAATCTCACGTGGCCCATGTAGTAGGATACTTATTCTGCTACATTGTATTCGCAGTGGAGCTTTGTGATTAGGCAGTAGAAGAGGAGGTGGAGCTGGGAGAGAAAGAGAGGAAGGGGAGGGGAGAAAAAGAGGAAGGGGAAGGAAGAAAAAGAGGAAGGGGAGGAGAAGAAGGAGGCTATGGACCATGGAGAACCACAGATGGGTCGAAAGCTGTCCTGGGTAGCAACTTCTATCAAAAGGTTAGATACTGGGTATCAACTCTAACTGTGTGGGCATCTTGTTAATTGAGCATTTCTAAATATGTAAATCCTTTAGATAATCATTTTAAGCTTTAAGAGTCTTCATTCTACTGGTACTGTGAGAATGACAGATATTGTCTGGGGTTTAGCCAAGCTTTGTGGATGCAGAGTGGTAGATCGGCGAGCCATCCCCCATGCTGGTGTCTCGTGGTTGTCAGGGCCTGCGCATCTAGCTAGCCAGAACCAGGGTCAGAGCCAAGGAGCAGTGGGAACATGGCGGCTGCCCAGAAAAAAGCCTGACTGGATGCCAATTTCTATATATTACCCCTACAGGCCCAAGCCATACGCTTAAACCCACTATGTAGCTGACGATGCCCTTGAACCCCTGATTTTTCCCATCTCTACCTTCCAAGGAGCATCACCTTGTCCAGCTGTTTTCCTAATGCTCAGTGACAAAGGTGGCCCAGAGCAAAGAGAAGAGGCTTTGGGAACAGACGTGAAATGGAGTGGAAGCTGTGGGCTCTGCAGGAGGGAGGTAAGAGTCTCCTGAAATGACAGCACCTGTAAGAGATGCTCCAGACCAGTCCCTTGACTCCAGGGTCCAGGCTCACCAATGCCCTTGATGTCCTCGCTGGGAGCGGAGGGAGGCAACATCTTTCTGGGTCTCTGCATTTGATATAGTCTTGACAGGTGACATTTCTTTGAGACTTGGAGCTTGAGTGATGCCTGGGGAAGCTAGTTTTCCTGGGCTTGTTATCTCTCTGTCTCTGTCTGTCTGTCTGTCTGCCTCTCTCTCTCTCTCTCTCTCTCTCTCTCTCACACACACACACACACACACACACACACACAAAGAGTGCTGGGTTGTATCCCAAAACATGCTAGTCAAATGTTCTATCATGGAGATATATTCGATGGTGTCATTCTCCTCTCACCTCCTCCTCTTCCCCCTCTTCCTTCTCTTCTTCCTCTTCCTCTTCCTCATCCTGCTCCTCTTCCTTCTTCTCCTTCTCTCTTTCTTTCTTCCTCTTGAGACAAGAGTCTTACCATGTAGTCCAGGCTAGCCTCAAATTCATTATTTTATAGTCCAGGCTAGCCTTGAACTCACCATCCTCCCTTTTCCATTTACAGAGTACTGAAACTGTTGGCATGGATCACCTCACCTGGCCCAATTCTAATGTTTGAAGCTCATTTTATGCTTGCAAGTTATTAACTTATGGTTTGAGCTTATGATATAATAAACATGCAAACAAACAAACCCACCATATTTGGTCTCAGGAAGCTGGTCCCCTTCCCCTGAGACGCCCAGCCTCCTGCTTGCAGTGGGCAATGTCTTCAGCTGCTTAACTGCAGGCTTTACTATGGCTCAAACTCACACATCATGCTGGTTTTTGGTTCCCAAGTTTGCCAGTCAAAGACCTTGGAGATGCTTTGTGAGCTCTGTTGGTGACATCTCTCACGTAGACTTAGTGTCAAGGAAAATAGAATAAACAGGGGCCTAGAGGGAGTTTCTCAAATTCCAAACATTTGACCTCAGAATTTGGCAGAATTTGTCACTGAGTCCGCTAGGAACAGAACCGTTCTGCTTGGCCCCTTGCCTTCAGCACCTGCTACCCCATTGGACACAGCAAGCCTCTAGACTCCTCTATTCATGTTTGCAAAGATACCTCCCCTGGGAGAAGGGCCTGGCTTCTTCCTGGAGCCAATTTAAAAACCTAAAGGGGCCTTTAAAAATACATTTAAGAGTTGGAGCGCATCCTGCCCCTGTTAGCTTATGAGCTCATTTCTGCTGGGAACCCAGTGACATTTCCATTCCTGCTTGTCAGTCAGTTTTTCTTTAGATTTGTTATAAGATAAACATCCCCCCCCCTGCAAAATTCTTCTCACATTCTTAAGGAAACTCAAGGTTCCAGTTACACCGATTCCTAGCCTGTTCCCTTTGTTAAATCTCCGTTTGACTCCTGCTCGCCTGCTTCCCCATTTCTCAGCTACTCGGCTACTCGGGGCAACACGAAGCCTCTGTTTGTTCCAGATTACCTCATACCACGCAGTAGGCCGAACCCCAGGCTTTGTACATGCTAGTCAAGTACTGTCCCAGCGGCCGCACAGGGCGCTATTATTTATTTAAATATCTCCCTTAATTTCTGAAGTCTCCTGTTCTCAAGGTCACCTTTCCTGTGCTAGATCCAAAACCAGGCCTCCTAAGGTGGAGGGGCCCAGTCAGAAGAGGTACACCCATTCTTCAAGTGGAAACTTGGAGTCGAACAAGG